AGAAAAACTGTTTGAAATTATATGCCTTGCAAAAACTAGGCGACGTTACACGTCCTGCAGTATTCAACTGAATTTATTTGCTTTTCGATGCAGCGCAGCGCTTGGCTTCGCTTGGCATGTGGCAGGTGTTACCTGCAAACCTGAACTTGACTGGACAACATTTTATTCACCTGTGATATCGTTTTATTTTAACCTGTAATTATTTATCTAGATATCTAGGTACTATACTCGATTCAGGGGTCATTACTTTGTACTTGGAATGTCATCAGCATCAGTGTGTAGATATTATTAAAAGGCTTTTTCAACTTAATTTTGTTGTAAAAATAAGACTTCACATTTCTGTACTTACTTAGGGAATAATTTATTTACAGATTTGCTCGTTTAACTAGGTATATGTACCTATTTCAATGCAAAAGACCTACGTTAAAATAAAATTAGTAAGTAATACATACAACTTAAAATAACTATTCGCGTATTTTGTATGATCTTTGTTTCCTACGATATTAAACATTGATAAACTTATAATAGAGCTTAAGCTGATCGCTTAGATTAGACTTACTCGTGGAGCCAGTACTTGTCGCATAGATCCAGCCATTCACCTGTACTCTGCTGTAGTCTAATACCATTATGTATACATACGTAACCGACTACGTACGTAGGTACTTACATACTAGTCTAGTACTTTCACTGTCTGTTTTTATAAAAATGAATTACTTATTATACATTTAATTAACTTTATCGTAAAAAATACAGTAGCAGTACTTAATTTATGTCATGTTATAGCAGTACTTAATTTATGTACTTACAATTAATTAAAATGTTATCGTTTTGAAGTCGTTCTATTTTTAACTTTACATCGACCTATAGAACTTTATAACATTATTTTTTTAATCTGTGAAAGTATAATCGCGTGTAATAGTTATAATAATATATGTCGATTTAAAAATGTTTTACAATTAATTAGGTATTACGAGCAACAGTTTTGCGTTAGAAAAAAAACTTGATCTAATGAAAAACTTCAAATGAAAAGCTGCATACTGCAACTCACAAGTTACGAGTTGCTTTGTCTGCAGAGCGTCTAATCCTATCGAGCTTATTCAATTCACTCCATAAATTTTCACTTATTACTTTCGAAAATTGCACATATATTTTCGCTAGGCACCATTACATTAAAACCTTTATTGAATGGCTTACGCAATTTTCTGTTTAAACATGTTATTTATACGAGCCAGTCTTCTCAGCAAAACGACATTGATAAACCCTTTAGAGACGGCCTAAGAGTGTCCTTTATGGAGCGGCCTCGACCCATATCAACCTCGTTCCCCTCATATGAATAAATAAAAGCTCAATTTGTAACTCACCCGTTTACAAACTCATCGATATACATTATCCTGTTTAGCTTTTGCAGTTATGATGAATTAAATTAGTTATGTGATGAATGAATCAATCACACCAATTGTCTGTCATTGTTAACAATACGTGTATGAGTTCGTAAAGCATTTGATAAATAAACAAGTAACTAAAAATAATATTTAGGTCATTCTAAATTTTGTTGTTATTTCTAGTTGATTTTGGGATAGTTATAATGTTTGTAATGGTATCGTAAAATGAATAAATTATGCTAGTTCGGAAAAAATTGGTGGGATGTTAAGTCTAAATGACTGAAACAGGAAAGTATTTAATAAAAACATAGTAATGTATTTAGTCTGGTCACAAAATTGAAATACTCCTGGCAATTCATCCAGGTCGGCTGAATTGCCAATGAGTCATTCAGGGAAACCCTTTCGTGACTCAACTCGTTATCGACTTCGGGCATTCAGTCGACACTCACCCTGTTTATATTGATAATGTCCTTGTTGTTACAATTGAAACATTGCTTGTTTAAAATTGTGTAACTTAATGTATTACGCTGTTCTTTTTTGATAATATTTGTTAATAACTATGTTATATTTTAAATTTAAATGTCGCTTATTCTATTTTAGTTCTAATCGACACACAAAATTTTTACGACATTTGAAAGGTTAAGTAGAATTAATGATTGCTGTGGTAACAAAATACCGATTACAATCATTAACAAATGCGTCACTAGCATTCAATAGTTTACGTAAGAGTTGACTAGGAATAGGTAAGGTACCTACTTATAATTTGGAATTTTCATAGAATTTTCTTTCAGCATGAAGTTACATGTGACTTTAATGTTAAATTAAACGATTTTACTTCATTTTAAATGCCTTTTTACGTCCAGTGGCACTTGCAACTTACCGAATGTAAACAAGAAAACAAACACTTTGCCCATCATTTTAAGCAATTTAGAATTCAGATGTCATCATTACATTTTTTATTGGAACAAACGTCGTGATGTTTTGTGCGGCAGCGTACACCTACATTGGCTTGGCGCCAGAATATTTCACCCATTATACATTGCCCCGGCGGTCACAAAGGAAATGAGATCAATCACAATACTAGGGGCCAATAATACCGATGTCTCTTAGAGACCGTATTGTTATCGATGTTATCTTTGTTTTCGTTCAACTACAAAAGCAGGAAACTTTTGTTCGTTTCGTTTTCCTTAACCATCACAGGCACCATGTATTTTTGGCAGTACGTACTGAAATAAAAGTGTCATAAGTTAATACTGAAGAATATTTCATTAAATAACATAGACACCTATTGGTAATCAGACTAATCAGTTTAATGTAACATTAACTAACTTAAACTGTCAAACACCAAGCGGTCACCGGTGACCGCGACCTATTGTTCTTTAAACTGTCAAATACCAAGCGGTCACCGGTGACCGCGACCTATTGTTCTTTAATTGTGTCTATAAAACCGGTACTCGACGAGTTAATTGTGTCTATAAAACCGGTACTCGACGAGTTAATAAGACATTTACTGGAACATTTACTGGACATTTACAACTAAAAGAAAAAAAAAATTACTTTCTACATATTTTATAAATTCATTTCCATAGTTCAAACTGCTTTTCCGTTCGTTATCTAACGAGAGAAGTTTATGTACCAAAATAGCTATGTAACAGCTAGTAAGTTAAGTTTATTATCTTAAAATATAGTTTTTTCATTCGATTTACCGATCTTTACTCTTTTTCTTCGCTCCAGCCAGCCTGCATTCTCTACTATAGATCTCGTTCAATTAGACATTCTTTCTACAAACTTTTTTATAAATTCGCTTCATTGGATCTGAGTAATTATCTTGTAATCTATGTATTTAATTTTATGAGGGTGATTGAAAGTTGTCGTTGTGGTAAAAAAAACTAATGTGAGTTCGTAACCGCAAATATATGGCATATATAATTCTCCAATGTCCTTCGTTTCTCGAAGCATTATTTCCAGAAGTCATCAACTCAGTGAGTATTTACTTACCAACTACATAACTATAATTTTAACAAAGTAATCTAATCACCAATTTTCCTGTTTTAAAAATAGCCATTGTGGATATACATTTGTGCTGTCACGGATAAAGCTAGTTTGTAATTATAATTACAATTTCTCATACATATACTTAATATATTCTACCAAGTTACTGCAAAAACGAGGCTAACTTGTCTTAAACATATAAAATAAAATAATTATGTTGGACGTGTATCTTATTTTTATTATCTGTTTTCATGTTTGTCAATGAGGATAAATTGTACAGCGACTACGATTAGTCATAAATAAGTATTTCTCAAGGCTATGAAAGATGACTGTCTGCATAATAACACAGACTGGTGTGGCTTGTTTTCGTGGAACATTCTGTGACACATTGACTTTTATAGGATTTATGTTCGATTCGTTTTATTCTAACAAAACATTAAAAAATGGTTCTGGTTAGTGCTCTAATTTGTTTATAAATGTGACAATATTTTTGGTATTTAGTGGTTTAGACTTAGTAGTAAGTAACATTGATAGTGAATTACGATACATTGTGTTTTGGATAACACAAAGTTTACTGACGAGTTGACTTATTTCACTAAATAGGATAGTAGCCGTTGCAAGGTGCGAAAGGGTTCGCATGTTAGTAAATTATTATCGGCAGCTGTCTACGTCCAAGCTCCCCCAAACAAGCACGCGATGGCAAAAAAGGAATTTCCCCGTTTACTCTCTATCCGACCGCGAACACCCTGTATAGTGGTCAAAGCCGCAGACTCCGCGCATGAATAAAAAGCGGGTAAACAAAAATCTTTTTGTGGTTGCGGGTTACCTTTACCAAGTGCACCAGACCGTGAACAATCGGCGTGAATTATCATGTGGAGCATTTATGAAAGAGGCTGTTTGTAAAGGGAATCGAGGTGTAATAATGGCGGCAAGCTATGCTCTGAGCTGTCATCGTAAAAGGATTGTGTTGTTTGCAAATTGTTCTTAATAGCTCGTGGAGTTATTGCGTAGTTGCAGTCTTATTTTATATGATGCTCTGTAACAGAGTCATCCGACTCTTAATATGCGATATTTTAACTGTTTGTTATTCAAACATTAACTTGATAATTATAACTTTAGAAAAAATATGGCAGCCTGAAAGTAGGTCGATGAATAACCTAACTATTTATGGCATCTAATATTACATGATATAGAGCTTCGAGGTTAGATCAAAGAGGTAGAAATGAAATATCGATTGACCGCAATAAAGTCAGTTATTCGCTTGATTAACCCGCTCGAGTTGGGGTGCGCTTTAGAAGCTTTTGCATCATGCGCTTTCAATTAATATACCTTCAATCGTTTACACGAATCACTGATTCCCCTCTACCACCAGTTCATTCAATGAAATAGGATTTTGTCGAGTAATAAACCTAAGTTGTGTGTAGGTTCCTATACCATTGTTTTTACCATTATGTGATTATGCGTTAATTTGAATGATTTAATAATATGCACATTTAGGTATACCATTGCCATTCTGGAAATGTGTGCATGGACGCAAACTATCATCGGATTTATTCTTAACCTTGTTGTTTGTTATAAGATATCGATTGTTGTAAAAGGTACTAATATCTTTTATTTTTATTACAGTCCAAGCGGCACGGCATTGAGTACTCTACCTCAGTTACGGGATTATCTTCAGACGGCCGGGACTTGTAAGTGTGGACTTCCATGTCCATTGAGGCCCGAGACCGCCTTCAGTTTTGACCCAAAGGTAATACAATAATTAGTTTACTTATTTTTTTACATAACATGTTTTTCTTTTCCTGGAAACCAACTGAAGCAACAGTGTCTTCAGATCCGATGAGGTTCACCGATACATTCCATAAAGCAATTCATCGGCAAAAGGAATGTCTGTTGTCGAGCCGTTCCACTTTTTCTGCTCTGGGAATGTTTCGATCGCAGCCGGTTACTGAGTCGCGTTAAAACTTTTTACGTCTCCTTGACGATCTTACCAAGCGAAAATGTGTCATTTATATTATCCTTTTATGAGTGTTTATGGTTTAACTACAGCGGAAAAGAACCACCGTTCACAATTTGTGTCCCTTTTGCATGGTATCGTACACAAGAGCTACGATGAGAAAAATAGCTACCATTTCGTTGGTATTACTCTAGAAATACCTATTTCTATATATATTTCTCAAATTGGTTTGATATTCAAGTATTTAATTTGGTAGGTATAATGATAAACATTATAAATGTTATAGACTAGAGTGAAGGGCCGACTTTGCTCAGAAGGCGAGGCGAGACATTAATAAATTAGGGCAATTATCATGTCAGTAGCACCTTGACATAATAGTGAGGACGATAAAATATGAGTGAAATAATTTGATGTCTCGTAGCTTGAACTAGTACTGCAATAATAAAAATTCGCATAAATATTAATTATTGAGATTATATAGAGGGACTGTCAAAATAGATTTGAATACAGACGATAAGTATCTCGTCAGTAATATTTTTTATATCATGATTATTCACGATTAAATTACACTGAAAATGTCATAACCATAACTTACGCTACCTAATATGCCATAGTCATAACTACGTAAGTACGTAACGTACCTACTTATGTTTTGAGACGACAATTTACGACAATTTAAGTGATAAAGATTGTAAATTAGTTAATTTGTAAGCTTGTAAAAATTTAAACTAACTTTTTCTTTTGTTTATGACAAAGTAGAAAATAGGAACCTGTTTTTATATAGAACTGGCTTGGAGGATATTTTTAAAGTCAAAAGAACCCTCCGAATATAAGCAAATATAAGTTTGGGTTTTATGTGCTGATTGGCAAACTTCTCACTATTTTATTAGTTTTAGCAACAAATTGCGATTTTTGAGAGTATTACCACTTCGATCGAGCAATAGAATGTTTAATCGAAAGATAGCTTTTAACGATACAATACTTACAAATCCCATGAGAAAATAAATATTGTTGTTTTGTCTATGGGTCTTTCACATTTTTTTAATATTGTACGCAACATGTCGAAGTTATACCAGATGTCATCCGCCGGTTCGGGTGACTTGGTTGTAGTGTCGGCGTAGTTAGCCTGCGTTGACAGGCACCGCGCTGCGTACAGCCGGGGGCTGCCGGCTGCCTCCAAGGCTCCCAGAGGACTACACAAACAACATTTTCTTGTTAAACTGTCAAACACCAAGCGGTCACCGGTGACCGCGACCTATTGTTCTTTAATTGTGTCTATAAAACCGATACTCGACGAGTTAAGAAAATATATTTTTGCTACTATTTGTGTACACTTTGTGAATAAATTAAAAGTGATTTACATCAGATAGAATTCACGTAGAGCCAGTTAGATCCACGTGCTGTCGATAACAAGAAGACCATTATACGAGTCGAGTGGCTACATTATATTTATTCAGAGCACACAGCCATTGCTTAACAAGTGATTCGTTATTTTGCTCTAGTTTGCCCTACTTTGTTTACAATGACCCCGTTGTTTTTGGAATATTTGCACTTTCAGATTGTTAGACAATAAACTACCTATGTTTAGTGACTTGATTTTCTTTACAATTTTCCTAAAAATCACCTTTACTGTACGTAGTTATTTGAAATCTCAATTTGCATTTTGAATTCAAATTACACAATCGAAAGATAGTAAGTAATGTCTCTTTGCAAATGATAAATGAAATTGTTAGTCATTCGTCGTGTAACGGGATGAAGAGTGTCTGAGTGCTTGTAATATTCTGACTCGTTTGTACATTCGATCCAATAAAGGTGAGCCTTTGCAGTTGCATTTGTGCGTTGGACAAGTTAATTCTGTCAAAGCAGCAAGCGACCTCCTCACATCGCCTTTGTATGCACTTGAAATGTACAAATTGCACCGCGGGCCGTGGGGGTGGGGGGAGGTCGGTGCACTCGTCTGTATCCCCACACTCCCGCACTCTCATCGATTCCTCTTTGTTCCATGCATTCGTCTTGAGATACACTCGGCGACATCTCGATTTCACATTCATTTGAATCTTTGATCCACTTGGCTTTATGCCTGATTTTGAAGATAACGGGTCTCATACGGCATCATTTGTCAATATTAAAGAGAAATGTATTGTTAAAAAAATGCAGCGGAATTGAAGTCCTTCTCCTATTTTCTATTCTATTCCTTTTATAAATTAACAAGAAACTTAGAGTTCCTCGTCAAACAGTTACGTAGGTAAACCGAAAATAATTAATGTAGTATGTCTCACGACAGTTATTACAAGAAAAGCCTCGTAAAATTTACGAACGATTAATGGTGATGTAGTTATTTTGGGGTAAAATGCTGAATGTTACCTTTATTTACGTCAACAACACTCCATTAGTTAAGTCTCGAAGCTTGATAGTTTTAGTAATAAACAAACAATCATTAACAATTCCCTTACATTATTTTCTATATTACTGTATCCGCAGGACAAGTCTATAAATTTTCTAAATGGTGTTTATGGCTTCCCTTATAGATTTGGATGTGATCGGATATATTGAGGCACGTTTAAACATATAACATCTGTATTATCTAATATTTCCAATTGTTTATTCTTATTTGTAGGGATTGAGATGTCCACATCGATGAATAAATTATGTACCATGCAAATTATATAAGATGCTTGTTATTCTATCTGCTGAAAATATTTTCATGAAACATTCTGAGCTTCCGTTGGGCCACACCATATAGGCACGTCGTGCTGAGGTACGCTATTCAGTGATCGCCGTCTCAGCATGTCTAGATATAGCAGTATTTATGATAACTACCTGTATGGTAGTCGGCTTTCCATCGTGACGCTGCGCGCTGGGACTCGGTCCTTCCCAGTCGTGAGGTAAGCGCTGACCCTCCGGCACTGACAACGATCCTATCGCGACCACACTTTCAGCTGTTGCTAAGACGTTTATAGTCCATTATGTTCATATTTATGATCGTCAAAGAAATTCCAAATTATTACGTTGAATTTATATTTTTATTGAAAATGTTTTTTGCTCTGATGTTTCCAAGATCGGCCAACTCTAGCGAAGTGACATAAAATGGTATCAAAATTATAAAAATAAGTCATCTTAAAACTTGTAGTGGGTGTAGGTATTTCCTTGAATCGTCTGGGTAACAATCTCGATTTATCGGAAAGGTTCTGTGTGGCGATAGTATCTTATTGTTTTGACTTGTCTTCCTCCGAGAACAAAGAATCACGGCTCTTCCGCGTGGCAACCGCTTCAAGTGACATTTAAGCTCATTTATGCGATCAATCGAGGTCGTGATCCTTATGCTCAATGTTATTCGATTTAAATCACCACTTTCAATCTGTTACTCGTTCAGCGTTTATTCTTTACGAGGTGTTATATTTATTGTAAATATAATTTAATCGATCGCAAATGAAAAAAATATTAACTCGTCGAGTACCGGTTTTATAGACACAATTAAAGAACAATAGGTCGCGGTCACCGGTGACCGCTTGGTGTTTGACAGTTTAATAAAATCAATCTGTAAATAATACCTAATATCGGCATAATGTAGACATGTACTTTATTGTATGAGCAAGTTTTAATAAACGTTTAGACGGTCTCTAAACGCTGCCAACTTTCCAACAGTGTGAGGTGAAAGTGGCGACCGTGCAGGGCAGTACGTAACATTCCGATCCGATAGGAACCTCGTTTGGAATAAAGCGAGAGCTAGAACATTAAATAAATTGTATTGAAACTTGGTGCTATGACTGTACGGTTTTGTTCATATTAAACTTACTTGTGGAGGCCAGTATTCTTGTTGGTCGTTTGTAGATTTATTTTGCTCAATCTTTGCCAATTCCTCCAGGAGTTTTTTATTTTAAGCGGTACATTTTTGAATTTTACGTGGTTTTTTACTTATTTTATTGTAATTTAAATACAAATAGTCATGATAACCTTGTTTTCTGTAGTCTGCTAATGTCAGTATGACTGAAAGACAAATCAACTACAGCGATTGTTTCTTTGATAGAAGGTTATTATTTTGGAAATTAAGTAATTTCTAGTAAATGACAACTGGTACAAATTTATAATCATGAAAGTGTATGTTATGTGAACAGAGTTTATTTCTACACAACACGACGGCTTTATGTGAATGTGAGTTAACATGCGTGCATATGGGACAATAAAATGTATTCACCGACAGTCGTAAGCGACACGCTTCGCCGCCCCGATCGCGATGGTGAGATACGGCTAGCTAGCCACCGAAGCCAGCATTGTCTGAGTCTACAAGCTTTGTTTATTGACCATTGTAAACCCCAGGATCAGCTCCTAATGTAGAATGGGACCATATACCATGACAGTTCTCGAAGTTATCCGTCTTTTTCAAATGCACAACCAGCTGGTTGCATTGCGCTAAGTATACAGATTACCGTCAAATTAACTGCCATTTTGTGGTGACATGACACTATAATGTTGAATGATGTGTCGAGGGGATTGTTACAACCCCTGTTTTGCTATCGAGGTCAAGGCCATCGATATTCAATATGGCGACATTCTAAAGATTCCCCTCACCCTAGTTTGTGTACCTTATTATTGGATTTGCTTAGAAGGTAAGTACTATTTATTAAACGAACTACAAGACACTACCGGCAAGAATACGAAAATTAAAAATATATTTAGGTCGAAAGTTGGGTAGTGAAAATAAATTCCATACGTATTTTTTTTATTTTGTCATATAATTGCAGTCACTGCTGAGATTATGGTAGAAATTTTTTTTTAGTTCAATGTTATGGTCATTCGTTAGTAAAGTAACGGTCGCGGTTGGTTAGTTTTATAATCATAATCGAAATAATTATCATAAACTTATCATGCGAGCAGATTAGGTTGGGAAATGCAGTATGTAATTACTTAAACGTATTAATTAGTAATTATCGCAAATACTTATTTGATTATTATCTTATATTGAACTGTAGTCTGAAAAAGTAACACTGTAATACTGTAAATACACTATCTAAAATTGGCTATTGTGATGTGATTGTGAATAATAAAAAAAATAATCGTCTTTAACTATTTAGTTTATTTTCGCAACAAGTTCTCGTATTATATTTTTACAATAGGCATACAGAGCAGGCAGACCTACATGACACATGCTGTTATGTCATTGAAAGTTATTTCGTTTACCTAATAAATAAACGCCCCTTGTGGGAATGGGTATTTATCTGTTTCCACAAGAGTTTGCTCCAAATTACAAAAGGGTAAGTTAAGGATAAATTCTGCAGGATGGGTCAATTAGTTTACTTTTACGGCCGCTTACTTACCTCAACGACAAGATAGAGTCTTAAAACAATGTGATGTATTCTTTTCATAACGCTAATTAGTATTTGATTTATCCCTGATAGATTAATATTAGCTGATATTAACAAGAGACCACGTCATAACAATCCGATCAACAAAATATCCTATTTGCTATACAATAGTGTCGGGTGTTTGAACGTAATTTATCAGGGCTGACGCCAACACTAACTTTGCAGAGAATGCACTGCGGCCACCGCAGTGGGGGTGTGGAAATTGGGGAGCCGTGTTGTACCGATACAGGCAAGTTTGGCAGCCGTAAATGTCCCCGTTAATTAGTGCCGACCACCCGACGATACAGCGACAAATTACTTGACGGATTGCGATACCGTATGCAAATAAGATGTAAAATTAACTTTGCCCTCGTTATTAATTAACACTGAAATCATATTATCTTTAATATAACATCCCTCGTTGTTGGTATTGTATGCTCTTTATTACATGTTACATTCCTATAGTCTGTTCGATATTGAGTCAAATAACGCATTCAGCTCCGATACGTGGCTATTAATTAGACTACAGTCATTAGTTAGTAAGCCGTGTTCAACTCAGGATGCGTCTGTCACACCGATGTAGTCGCGTCCATCATGTTGATTGGTTTCATATTGTAATGACTGGCTGCACCTGTTTTAGGTATTACATAGTAATATGCTACCACCATTATAGCATAGTAGGACTAAATTTCACCTCGTGAGTCATAACTTGGTATTACGTATCTATACCAGACCGACAGTATTTGTTGTTACGACCTGTACTTATAACGTACGAGTTACATATAAGAAAAGTTTTCTTTTATGTATTTAATTAAATAAACTTCATTAGGCATACATGTTCAGACAGTACCACTACCGATATCACTACCCATAGGTAGTGACATCTGTAATTGAATAGACAATGCAATCAAGTAGCCAATTGGGTCGCAAGTATTTGAACGTCTAGCATTCCAATAGTTATGTAAGTATTTGAATTTTAATAAGCTTCCGAACCATGCGTATGACATCAGTCTTTATTTAAGTGCGAAGTTGTTGATAAACATGGGTTAAACTAAAGCATTTATTCGAAGGAGCCTAAGTTTGCGAATTGTCATGGATGATAAGCAAGAAATCGATTGCACATTTCTAATTTATTTGATACGAATTTTCGCATAATTGAATTGTTAAAATTAAGGATGTCAGTTTTCCCTATTTTTACTACACATCGACAATACAATTGGCTTAATAAGAGTCCATTACTTGCAAATCGTTCATTATTCTGCTATTAAATTGTGATACCTGGATAAAGTGTTAAGAGTGAATCATAAACGTATACTTTGTATAAAAGAGTCTGTTAGTCTCGTTATTAAATCCGTAAATTAATAACACGAGAAAATACCATTATGATTTTAATTACCAACGTGAATGGTTGTTAGACACGCGCCTCCGACTATGTATTCCATAAGTCATAATTTGACGTTTAGCTGCAAATGTGATTGCACGCTAACTGGTACAAGGACACCTACGACCTTCTGTTTGCGTCGCATGAAGGTACTGTCTTGTTTATTTTTTACTAAAAAAACTATGTGTTAGCTTGGTGTGTTCAGTGTTCCACAGACTTTGGTATCATTTTATATATGATGTGTTTGAGTATTTAATTAATGGTGCTAATACACATATCTTTCGTTAACTAGGTACATTGTAATTTGTAATAAAATAATTTCTGTGCTGTTTCAAAGATACAAAAAAAAATTGTTCAATGAATTATCATTAACACTATTCTGAAAGAAACTATAAAAAGTTGCTTTGAAACCAATTATAAAGGAAGCCAAAGAAATCTAAACTGTTACAACAATTGAGATTTTGAATGTCCATTTTCAGTTCAGACAATTTATAATTATGATATCACCAGTAAGGTCCTCCCAAACCTCCAAATCTTGTACTTAATATTACGGTTTAATAATAATCCACCTAAGAATAGGTGAAACTGTTAGCTACTCTACTTTCACATCTTTTTAAACGTCTCCCTCTCATTACCATAGTAGTGCTAACAGTGCTAACACACCAGTTACTTAGAGCCGCGGGAACGACAATTTCCTCGTTTTGTACAAACATTGGGTACAAGTCGTATGCAGCTGTGTCAGCGGGCGAGCGTGGAGCAATTTGCGTGTGCAGCCGTGCACAGTGGGCGTCCGTCCATAATGAATGGCGGACGTGTTCGCAGATCGAGCACAATATTATCGCAACCTAACTGTACTCTCAATGCATACTCTGTAGCATTGTGAACACAGCTTAAATCGAACAATGACCACATAGTCAAACGTGATTATGTAACACGCACATAGTTAATGATCCTTGTTTATCTCTTTAGGACCAACCTGAACTTAAACCTAAATATTTACCTTACGAACGTGATGAAATATTTATTACACAATTCTGTACAAAACCCAATATGTTAGATCACACTTCTGTTAATCGATGAAAGCTGAAGTCGGAGTCGTTTTGTTATTATTAATTTATGGCAAAATTTTATATTAGAATTTGTAAAACAATATTTGTTATGTTTTTCATTATTTGTCTAGTCATTTCATTGGTGCAATATACTCAGTACTATTTTGCCAATTGTACAAGGAAGTCAGGATGTGTTTCATAATGGAGGAATGGAGCATTGTTTGCTCGTATTTATGTGGTATAATTAATAACTTATTTACATGAAGCAATTCAAGGTGTTATGTTAGATCTGCGATCTAGATCGTAACTAGCGGTTGGTTGGCGTGAAATCAGGAAATGCAACGCTCTATGATTGGTTACACTCACTAGTAATGCTGAAAGTAGCCTAGTTCCAATCGATTCCGGTTATTATTAACGCGTTATGAAAATAAAGTCACTTAGGTGTAATTATAGCTAATGCACTTTGATGTCTAATTCTCATTCATTTTTTTCGTCCATAAGTTGGTTGAGTTTTCACAGTTTTGACAGCAGTGAACCTCTAGTGAGGATCTTATATCTTAAATTTGCCACTCGTATTTATCACAAAAGGTTCGTCCTTCATAACCAAATTAATAATAGCCTGTAGTAGTCTACTGCTGAATTATGGGCCTCATCTACACAAGAAGGTACATTCTCTGCGCTCGGCAGACTGGTTGCAGATCGCAGTAGCAGAAAAGGTTTAGGTTTAAAAGAGTAGACTGCTACCCGATCCATGGTAACAAATGTAGTAGTTATCTAAGCAGGAAGCCGTCGCTCAGACCAGCTGGTCTAAAATTTGACCCCTTCCCTTGACGCGGGATGTCTCTATATGCACTTTGTCGTTCTTGTGTTCGATCCACCCAAAAAATTAAAATGTGTAGTTCCTTTTCGCCATTTCGATTAACATGTATTTTTTTTCTTCAGGTGGCAAGCAAACCGTACCAAGCGGCTTCAGGTGCGGAATTGACGAAGCTTTGCAACCATAAACGGAAACTACTGTCGACGCTACAAGTGCAGACGCAGTCTCCAGCTACGCCACCACCACAAACCATGGAGCAGAAAAAAGGTAAAACCCAAGATAATCAAGTAGAAAATGCTCCGCTAATGCACAGCTCGCGAGCTGCGCGTTTACGAGTTGAGCACCAAAACGTTGCCGTGCTCGCGGACGGCTCGGGATCAGCTCGGGAGTCCCGAGCTTGAATTCGCGGAGCATTCGCCAGATGTGGACGTAAGTACCCTTAGAAAATTAATTTGTAAATTGTAAAAAAAAACTTTTCTTTTAATGCTGTGTCAAATGCTTGTACGCATTCGTATAATGTGTAATTTATTATGCAAACAACAGTACCTGGTGTTTAAATAATAATATAAGCATTCAGTATATAAAAGGTGTGTTTAAGTATCGCGTGAAATGTGGGCTCTATGGTTACGAACGCAAAATGTCCCACCACCCTCTAGGGGCATTTACCTCTAAATTAAAAGCTTTTGTGTAACATTCGCGTTGACTAACTTAGCATTGAATGAACTACGTTTAAACATTTTTAACGTTTTTTTGTTTGTGTAAAGTGGAAAATTTCTAAGTTGAAACGTACAAATAGTTTACATTCTATGTTAGTATTTTGGTGTAACAGTAGGTTCATCGAGGGCATTATTATCCGATTAGCGGGCGGGCGTTCCGGGCGCAATCTCGGTTCTCGGCCCTCCTTCATCCAATTACATGAGTGTGAACCGAACGGGATTAGCCGGGAATACTGCCGACCCGCACCTTGTCGGCCCGTCTTTAATAAGAGTTGGCACATGATACTAACTAGGTTTACGACTTGCCTTACTTTACATGCATTACCTGCAAGAAGTCGTTGATCCGTAAATTACGTCATAAACATACAAATTGCGCATGTCACATCAGAATCGGATAGATACAAGTTACTTGTTTATTTAAATTGTTGAGCTGTTTTTTATATTTAGTTTTTATGTTTATACGAATTACAATTTATAACTATTATTAAAATCAAAATGACAGCATCAGGTCTAGGTAGGTATTCCAAGTTTTATTTTTTGTTTAACTCATTAAAATCATGCAAATAACAAAGTGTAAGATAAGTAGGTAGTGTCATTCCACGTCGGCACTAGCTATATCTCCAAAGGACTAAACTAACACTGAAAAGTGGTTGTTCGTAGGACGGAGTTGTTTCTTGTAACAAAGAGGGTAGAAGCGGTCTCTTTGTTGTTAAGTGGCAGCAAGTGGAAGGGGCGCGGGGGTGCATTTAGTGTGGCATGAATAGCGGGTAACTGCACTTCGTCAGCCGTCCGTCCGGGAGTAACAACCTGCAGAACACCCGACACCCCTCGCAATTCACAACCTTATCTCCACCTGTGTTTCAACTACTACTATTATCGTATCGTTTTAATTTTGCTGCTTATTGCCTTTTAAATATGATGTAATAAGTAACTATGATAAGCTCTACTAATATTACAAACCAGTTTATTAGCAGACTTGATCTTGGTACAGACACAATGAAGTTATTTATAGTGGATCTAAACGAATTAATATTCCTTTGATGAAAACAAAATAAACTATTAATTAGGTCACTAAATGTTATTACACTCCAGTAGTACAGTAATGTTCTCGTAATCACACCATTAACTGCATTGGGATTGAATCGGGAAATCTGTACGGCTCGCCGCAGAATGCGTAATTACCGTAAAGGAAGTCGGTCGTTTAGAGCAAACAAAAACTCTGGCGACTCGATCAGTGGCGGGAACAAAGGCGGGTGTAATTTGAAACAATCGGCGGTGGTGCAGAACGGCCGGTGGCGTGGGCCCGCGCCCCTCCGACTATTGATCTGACGAGTCGCGCCACCCTGCGGCCCGCGCGGCGCCCGGCGCCCGGTCGGTCCCGCCCCGTCCTACTGCACCCTGCCGCTGAGGAGACCACCCTCGACTCGCCGAGAGCCGCACACAACCCGTATTTTAATTGCAAATCTGCCAGATAATGTGCAAATAGATAACAGTATTATACTCGGCTTGCTAACTAATTATGAAACACTATCGAGTTATAAAACGCTGTTCGGGACTAAAATTGAAGAATTCTTATTGATGAGTAATGTCCTCATCGTGTAACGTAACCCATATTTAGTAATGAGTCTCCATAAACGATCTGGGGCTCGGGCTAAATATTGTGACAAGGTGATAAATGGTAATGAAAATGGATATTGTAGTCAATATTATTCTTATCTTAATTAATCATAGTGTTAATAATTATTAGAGAGCTTTGTATACTAGTTATTTCGTATGTTCTAATGAAAATGTAAACAAATTGCAAATAAAATTATTTTGCGTTTCTTCAGTTAATAAATTGTGTAGTAAATAAAAGGTCATCTTTAATCATAACGATACGATCAAACTCAGCAATTCGTTCGTGAAACTCTTACTTTTTATTAGATATATTGTTTTAAATTATTAGGTCGTCTGGAGAACAGCTCAAAGTCACCCGGTCGGTCTCCCACACTTCACCTCACTCGGCTCACTCAATGACTTTGCGTACAATGTTTGTTGTATTCTTCTATTTGACTTTACGTGAATCTCTTTGTCCGATTTATCGCGTTTAACTTTTTGGACAGGGTTAAGTTGATGCAGCTTTTTCTGCGCCGGTGCACGGACTAATGATTACATTGATTTATGGTGTAGGTAATTGACGTCCTTCTTGCCTTTTTTCATGGTTTCCAAATAAAATTAGAAATATTTATGTTCTAATACCATTTAATGCGGTTTGCATTAATTAAACCATTCTGAACTTTTACAACATAACATAACATAACATCACGCCTTATATCCCCGAAGGGGTAGGCAGAGGTGCACATTACGGCACTTAATGCCACTGTACCATGTAACAACCACTTTTCACTATTTTATGTTATGAGTCCCATGTAATAGGGGGGAGCCTATAGCCATATACCGGATACAAATACGGACTCCGTGCTACCACTGATATTTTTTTTTAAAAGACCCGATTATACTTTGCCCCAGCTGGGATTCGAACCCGAGACCCCTTCCTTGCCGCCCGGCAGTTGCAATTGCAACCACTCTGCCGACGAGGCAGTCTGAATTTTTATTTCTTAAGTTTAATTATGTAAGTTAATATTTTGAAAACATTACTTTCAGTCCCCGGCCCAGAAGCGCCCACGTTGAAGAAGAAGACGAAGAAACAACGGGCTGGCTTCCCTGCAAACGTTAGCGTGTCACAACTGATGGTGCAGAGAGAACGACCACTCAATGAGTTCAAGGTATGTACGTCTGTTTTTAAATATCTGTGTAAACATGATAAAAGCTAATTCAGTTGTATTATTAATTTTAGATTATTCATATTGTCTTATATTAGAAGTTGTTTTCTATTAAAGTGAAAATTAGTTAACCTATAATATATCGGATCTTACCATTCTGGGAAAATAAACGTTAACTAAAGTAAATGATATTATTTCAGAACAATCTGAAGTATTTAATTGAAACTTTATTTATTTTCAGGGTCAAGAAACAGAAACCAGTCGTGAAAATTCAATGGCGATGGGAACACAAAGAACAAATTCTCACATTGCATGCCTTCTTACCAACAAGTCCCACAGAACGTACCAAATACTCCTCAAGATAATGAAGTCAAACCGGAGACGCACGTACAAAAGAGTTCTCACTATCTCACTGTTAACAGTGGATGGATATCACAACATTCACAACAAATAGAAGACTTCGAGGCTCAAATTGCACAGAGACACAACATTAACTCGCCTATAAACTCCCCTCTACCGGGATTGCCAGTGAGAGGAGCTAACGGGCAAATCATTGGCGTCAACACCGGCCATAAACAATCAATGCATTTAAAAAATAATCCGAGTGCTACTCAAAATGTGCCTGAACCAGAAGCGAAAGAAGAAAAGAAAGAGAACGTGTCTGCCGTACAACAAAATATTCAAGGGAAGTTTGCATATAAAGAGGAAGAATCGCAAGTATTCTGTGGTCTAAACCAAGCTCTAACACCTGAAGTCATGCAGAAAATTAATGAACAACAACAAATATTCATACAGCAAAATCAAAAACAAATTGAAATGGCTATGAAGGGCTACAGGACTCAATTAGCAGAAAACATAAACCAAAATAAGTCTCAAAATCAGTATGTACCTCAGGGGCAGCTAGTTATTCAAAATGGTACCGTGATGAAAACGAATCCTGCTAAAACACCTCCTTGGCAAGTCAAGCGTAATGAATCTAGCGCATCGAGTTGTATGACTAGTCCTAGCCCGAAACTTTCTAAATCTGAGAATGATTATGAAGAATCTAATACTAGCATATCGGAAGACTCCTCCTCTTCGTCTTATAGTTCTTTTTCGAGTAATGAACAAATTAACCAAGGCATGTGCTCTCGCGTGCCGCCTCTACCGCAACACTACAATATGATGGGTCAGCAGTGGCCTGTCGCGGAGAGTAATAAAAAGAAGGCTAAGGGCAATAGCAATAAGAGCAGTAAAAAGAAAAGTAACCCCGAGAACAAAGTTCTAACATATGGAAGTAATGGGATGAGAATGGTTCAAGACTCGAAAGGGATGAATGATGAAATGCAAATGAATAGTGTTCCATCGTTCATGGATGATCCCAGCGGGTATCTGGCACAACAAACTGTTTTGTTAAACAACACGATATCTAAACAAGTAGGAATAAATTCTTCCTATGAAAGCCACCAATACGAAAGTGCCAATGCCACAAATTGCTGTGTCGCACAAAATCAAATGGACAAAATGAACAACATGTCAAAACTCGGCGAAAACTCGTGCACATACAGAAATAATGTGCCAAACCCATCACATTCGCCTACTACCACACCCGACAGTAGCGTTCTATCTGAAAAGTCTGTGGACAATATGTCTCAATGTTGTAAAGGCTGCAATGTATCAATGAAAAACAATAGTCCAGATTTTTCTGATAATCAGATGCGCCTAAAATACATGAAACATCAAATGTATAAAATGGAGTTGGAAGCTAATCCTTCGACATCTAGTCCGAAACATTCATTTGATGATAATCCAGTAACCTCTTCGACGTTTATTGAAAGGAATCCAATGTTGAGTGACAACTGTGGGCCCATCCAGGCCGCCACAGTGAGCACGAGCAACGTGTCGCTGACGGAGACCCTGCAGCCGCCCGAGCCGTCGCCCACGCTGTCCAGTAGCTCGCGGAGCACCGACACTCCGCACAGCAATGGGAGCAATGGCTCGCAAATGCAATCTAATTGTATATACCCGATACCTAGTCCAGCATATTCCAACTCTGGTTCTTGTAGAGATAATTTAAGTAATCCTTCAACTCCAGGGAGTAATCCAGTATACCCATATAATTCACCCGGACCTCCTAACAGCAATACTCAGTCTATGACTGGCCCTCAAGTAATGCATTTCATATCAAATCATAATGTCAATAAAAATCTCATGGAAGTTGATAACATATCAATGGTTGGTGTAAAACCTGGTTTGAAACCAACTCAAGAATTGTTTAGACTGGAACCAAGAAGAAGGATAGAGAACACGATGCCTGGATATTGTCCACCACCTCACCTGGGCGGCGGGCCCGCTCACACCTTAATACAAGCTTGTTACGTTCAGACTTTTGTGACAACTATGGCGAGTGGATTTTCCGTTACGCGGGACACCGTCACCTCGGTTTTGGCCGGAAAAGCTAACACTGCTACCACGTCTATAAATGCGTCTCAAGCTAACTTCATAAGACCACCGCCTCCACCGAGCGTTAATCTTGCTACTACTTATGCCATTCCAAACAATCAACCAGATCCATTTATTAATTCCGTTAATTTACCAACGAGTTATCCATTGCATATAGCGGGTACCACAGCACAGAACATGATCTCTAAATCACCATTAGAAATGGTACAAAATGTGATTGGTAGTTTACCTTCAAAACTTGAAACAAGTGGCACCCATTCAATGTCTCTCTCGCAATTGAATCGCAGATCATGCTCAACAACGCCTGGGCAAATATTAATATCGTCAACTGGCCAGATAATGGTGTCCAATAATCAAATGCCACCTCCGCCACCTAAAACTTCAACAACATTGGCATCAATACCGGGGACTGTGACCAATGTGACGACGTCTGTCACACAAGTCGTGCCGGCAGTCGGGGGAATGCAACCGATGGTGAATCAACCAACGGTCGTAGTGAACACGTTGCCGGCGCCATTTGTCATCCAGCCGCCCATGATGGCTGTGGATGGACAAGTGATGCAACAGAATAATGTGCTACCGCAAATTGTTACAGGAGGTATTGTATCTGGTCAGTCACCAAATGACAATTCACGGCAAATTGATATGAAGAGTCAACACAGCTTCGTCCAGGGTGTGGCAATGTTATCCCCAGAGAGCTTAAAAAAGCGGAGCAAGAAGAAGAAAAACCAAGCAAATATTACTAATGTTTTACAAATAACTGCCCCTCAACCAAATCCCAGCAATATAATGGTTCATCATACTTCACCACAGCATAATACTAGTCCTCAATTCTCGCCACGCGGCTTTCAACTATCTCCGAACAATAACATATCACCAACACCCATGCTGCAAGCATTGACTATAGTTCCAGGTAAATCTGGAACACCAGCTCATATAGTTATGAATGGACAAGGGAACACCAGTAACTTTGGGTCTCAACAAATAATTACGAACACTTCTCCCTCGCAACAAATCAACTTATTGCAACCAGTCAATCTTATAAACAACGCGAGTGGCGTAGTGCCCAATTTCCCAGCGTTTCAACAGTTCATTGTACCTAACATCGGTGGAATGATGATGACAGCAGATGGCACGGCTATAATTCCCGATAACTCTACGGGAATGCCAGTGCAATTGCAATTACAAACTGTTAACGGTCAGAATGTTCTCACTCCAGTGCAAAATCCTGGTGTATTTGCAGCTAGCACAAACGGGGGCGTTGTATTAAGAGCTCAGAATCAACAAGGTAAAATAATACAATCGCAGCATAGTCCAGGAGCTCAATTTATTTCTCCCAATAGTCAAGTTATGATGAACAGTCCAAACTTTAATGGTCAACTAAGTCCTCTGCTTGCTAATTTGAGTCCGACCAATGTAGCGTTTAATAATCCGCAAGTTCGATCCAGTAATATGCAGACGCAAGAATACATACAGACTAATCAAATGGGACAAGCTTTAATGGTCCATTGTCCCCGAAGCAAGTATCGCTGTCGTCTGCGACAACTAACCGAGGAAATTCAACTTTCGTCCATCAAAACACAACGATAGTGCAGCAGCAAACAACCCTAGTGTCGAATTCGCACAATACTCAGATGTCATCGATAACCACAAACCTGCAAGGCGGGAATGCGTCTAGACTGAGTATAGATCCGAACATGTTACTGTCGAACAAACCGATGGCGAGTCAGAAGGGCCGCGCGCTGGGGTCGTCCCCGGGCGCGGACGAGGCGGGCGCGGAGTACGCGGCGCACGTGCGGCACTCGGTGTCGACGCAGACCTTGCTGGCCCAGCGCGGCAAGTCGCCCAGCGCGCGCCCCGCCGCCTCGCCGCCCGACACCACCACGCACAGGTACTGCACTCCTACATCTACAGCCATTCGATCAATGACCTTCATTCCTCAGTAAACACTATTCATATTGGAAAAGCCGTTCCCCCTTTATTCAGGTGAAGTGACTATTTTGATTAAGAATAACTGCTTACTCACGTAATCTGTTTGAGGAAAGTTCTACTAGTTAGTTGCGCAACGTGACCACGCCATGCACGTTGCTCATGAAAGAGAGTATCGGTAGGACTTAAAATTAGTTGAACTTTTCTCAAATAGTTCACGTGAGAAAGGTGATATTATTAATCAAATTTGTCACGATATTTACTACACAAAAGATAAGTAACAACTATTGAACAATAAATGTTTTTAACAAAAAAATGTTGTTCGTGTAGTCCTTTGGGAGCCTTGGAGGCAGCCGGCAGCCCCCGGCTGTACGCAGCGCGGTGCCTGTCGACGCAGGCTAACTACGCCGACACTACAACCAAGTCACCCGAACCGGCGGATGCTAGCTCTTCGGTATGAAATTCGTATAATTTGATTGTTTTACTAATAAGTAGTTCCTAAAATACATAATTTAAGCATTTCAATTGTAAAGTTACGCAAATAACTTCATTTTTCATATCATTTTAAACTGTCAAACACCAAGCGGTCACCAGTGACCGCAACCTATTGTTCATAATTGTATCTATAATGACGGTACTTGACGAGTTCATCTATTGTGGAATGAGACTGCACTGTTTTAATCTGTCAAACACCAAGCGGTCACCGGTGACCGCGACCTATTGTTCTTTAATTGTGTCTATAAAACCGGTACTCGACGAGTTAAAAAGCATGTCCTAAGTTAAGGATCCGTTTATACATTACCAAACAAAATTGAGCTAACTATTTTTCTTGTGATATGTTTCCAGGCTATGGTGCAATGCGTGTCTAGCAGTGAACAAGATATGGCGGAGTCACGAGAGCACACCTGGCCCGTGACACGGAACGACTTCAACTCTGACACAGACACGCAAAGTAAGTTATAGAATAGAATAGAATAGAAAACTTTTATTTCAGACCGGAGTCCATAATTAGGGTTAGTAACAATTTTAACTTAAATTCTAGTGTTAGTAGGTTACATGAATTAAATTTCGGCATGGAGCCGTATCCACCTTCCCCACATCGGGGAATCCCACTGATCTACGAATACACTGAGAATGCTGTTGGTGCCGCCACGAACGCGAGCCATCAGGGACGCACATCTTTTTCTAATGATGGCGGAAAAACTATCAATATTATTATCTGCAAACATCCCTGACGCACTACATCGCCATGGCAGCCGCAGCAGCACCCTCAGTGCATTATTATACTGAACGCGCAGGTCGCTGTAGGCCCGCCGAGTGAAGCCGACCCACAGGCTGCACGTGTAAAAAGACTGACAATAGGCTTTGAAAAGGGTAACTTTAACCGGCTTCGTACAGCGCGCAAACCTGCGGGCCAGCATGTTGCAACGGACCGCCAGCGACCTACGTTCCCTTTCAATGTCACAATTGTCTTTAAGGTCTTCAGTGACCCAGTGCCTAGATATTTAAATTTGTCCACCCTTCTCAGTGGTTCTCCACAAAGTGCTACGTCTGGGATACATGGATAAGTCAGACTGCCAGCTTTAAAAACCATTAGTTCGCTCTTAGTGACATTATATTTGAGCCCATGATTCACCGCATAGTCTTCACAAACAGCAATCAGTCGCCTCAGAGCACCGATTGATGGGCTCATCAACACCATGTCGTCTGCGTAGCTAATATTGTTAATGCACACCCCGTCAATATGACATCCAACATTGGTGCTGCTAAGCCCAACAATCAGCTGGTTCATGTACAGGTTGAAGAGTCGGGGCGAACTGAGCCCCCCTTGCCTCACCCCACACTTCAACCGATACACGTCCGAATACGAACCATTCCACTTCACGCTATTGCTTTGACTACTGTACCAGTATTTAAATATGGATACTAATTCAGATGGCAATGTAGTTTCAGATTCTAGTTTACGCCACAAAACATCATAACAAACGAGATCAAATGCCCGTGAGAGATCTAGAAAACAAGCAAAAATAGGCGTTTTCCTGTCTGTATAGTATTGAACAGTCTGCTTGAGACAAAAGATTGCACTCTCAGTTGATAGCCCAGGCTTAAACCCGAACTGGGCATCATGTAATTCAAGGTGACTAGCCAATTGTTTATCAAGCAGACTATCCAACACCTTAGCTATGACAGTAGCCAGAGAAATGGGCCTATAATTGGTAATGTCAGAGACATCCCCTGTTTTATTTTTCACAATAGGTACTACCATTGTGTGCATCACATCATCCGGTAAGTAACCGTGACTAACGCACAGGTTGAAAAACAATGCAAGTACTCGCGGCAGGTGTCGCCCCGCATACCTCAGGTGCTCGATGCTGAGTCCATCATGACCCGGGGATTTACCCCTCTCCATTTTATTTATGATGGCTGATATCTCTTGTGCCGTAAAAATAACAGAAATTCCCCTATTGGGCACAGCATCAAACACCTGCAAAGGCTGCACACATCCAGTAAAAGGAGGTGACTCAATCTGGAAATGACGTCTAAATGCATTGGCTATATCAACCGGCTCGTGTACGCCCGCCACGCTCACCGGGGGACTCGACTTCGGATTCAAACTATTTGTTGATTTCCAAAATGAACCAAATTTCTTTTTAGTGTGATGTTTAGCTAGAATATCCATTTTTATTTGTTGTTGGTTATCTTGACAGTATTTCAAATTAGTCTTAAATATTTTTCTGGATTCGCACATTTTATCGTAAACACCACCACTAGCAGGTTTACCATAGAACAACCATGTTCGGTAACAAATCCGAGCCTCCCTGTGAGCGTCACGAACATATTTGTTCCAACCAGGAATGTACCTTTTACTATTATGACGCATCTGTTTATCTACATAAGTACGTTCGGCACCGTCCTTTAGAATTTTAATCAATCCATTATACATTGTATCTAACACTTTCACATGATTAGCATTAGAACACATTTTATGCGCACAATGCCGAAATTCATCTGGAAAATCTATTAATTTTAATTTGGAATTACAAAAGTTTGAGTATTCATTGATCTGGTCGCCATCTCTGTCACCCCATATCACTCTATTGCAAGTATAGATAGGATTCACTAGTTTAGGTGTAATTAAATGAATGTTACATTCAACTAATAAAGGTTATAAATCCTTACTTATATTATAAATCGGAAAGTGAGTTTGTTTGTTTGTATGTTCCTCTTTAACGCCGTAACTACTAAACCGATTGCTTTCAAATTTTGCAGACGTAAGTTAGAAGTCCGGATTAAATAATAGGGTACTTTTTATCCCTGAAAAATTTGATATTCCCGAGGGAAAACAAAAGTATTGGTATAGATGGCGCTGTGTGTATTGGTATATGTCACATTGGCTTTTTATCCTTTTGTGACGCGAGCGAAGCCGCGGGTAAAAGCTAGTACACAATAATTGCACACTTCATTCATGGTTCACTCATTTATCATGTAACCTACAATCTATTCAAAAATCAAATTTAAATTATTTATTTTGTCGGCAGTAAAATCCTTACTTCATATTCGACTTTGAAGGACCTCCTCATCTTATTGTCATCTGAACAAAATTATTTTGAATTTACTCGGACACTGGCTTATCAGTAACAATGAATACTAATCGATTTGACTTAAATATCGCTGTCTTGTGTTAAAATCATAATATCATTTACTTTCGATATTTCAGGCATGATTTCAAACACACCAATGATGCGACAGAGTCGTTCGCACAATCCTGTCGAGTCGACTGACATGCACTACAATCAAAGCATGAATGCATCGCTCATGAACAACCAACAAGTCATGCCGATGACTTCCAATTATTACGAAAGAACTCAAACGTACAAGAGAAAGAATGAGTTCGGTGACGCGTCCACGTATAGGCCGGAAAAGATCATGAGGACACCTAATTATAACATGGTACACGGACTACAAAAGGATACAGACTATGAGTCTATGGGTATGAGTTCTCCAGATAAAACACAGCCAAGACATTTTCCACTTACTGGCACGAGCTCAGATTCGTCTTCTCTGCCCAAAGTATATGATAGACATAATATGGGTTCTGGCGATGGTAAGTGTACTCATTAAGTCTTTCTCTTTGCTCAGCTTTGGACTCTTTGCTAAATGTTAATATTAATGCACTCTTCCGGGAAAATCTATTTGTCAGCTTTTCTGTGTGCTCAATACACATAATTTCATTGTCTCATTCACAGCAACTCAATAAAAAACTGTTAAAAATCAGAGTTACATTCCTTGCAGTGGTTGTGATTATTTGGCCTATTTGTACTTAAACTTAGATGATTTCATATGAATTGTACATGAATGTAATTAAAAAAATAGTAAGGGCAAGAACATATCAAAATCATATTGGTCTTGAATAAATTAATTAATGAACTTATCTATTTTGTTTACAGCAAAAATATAGATTTTCAAGCTCCTGAAATGTATTTTAAAGTGTATTTTTCCTTTGCGTTTTGAAATTCTTGAACTAACTTAAATTTCTTTACATACTTATCGATTTTGCGGCCATCAAGTTTACTGCCTCGGTACTAATATATCCAGAACCATCTCACGCTTTAGTCACAGCTAACAAAATTCAAAATTTACCATAATGTTGTGTCTTGTATTGGTTTTGGATTGACTCTCTGCAAGCGGACCTACTCAATTGTATATGTTTGTAGAGTGTTTGTCAACGAATACTTAATGATGTGTATTGTGGTATATTTCAGCTTCTACATAATGCGATACTATTGGTCATTGGTTTTCTTTTGGTTGGGTTAATACAAGATACAGCTGTTAATAAAGGGTGTACTGGAAACTAATCAGAACATATCAGTGAAGTGCAGCGTTCAAACGTTCTCACCCGGCTTTCTGTCGCTTTCCATTGCACCACATTCGAAGTAACAAATTGGTTCACAAATTGGGATTCCATTACTAACGCATCATTGTAAGCCATCATTATTTCATCTGTTCATCATTGTAAGTAAAGCACATGTTTTCATTACTTAATGTATAACGTATCTTCTTTTGGGGCGCAAGGAAAAAGTACATTTGAAGTTTGTTAATCAGACTTATATGTATTTTTTCTAAGCTAACCAAAGTTTCCGATAACTTGCTACTAATTGACTATCGAAGTGTTCAGCTAGAGCTTTTAATTCTTCAAAATTGCGTCGCTACTCGTACGTAACTACAGTATAGACACAGTTTTTATTGCGTACTGTGGAAGTTTGCGCGAGGGAGCGCTCACACGTCGCGACCTATTTTACGTGTCGGTGGCGGAAGCTCGGTGGAGGTCGGCGCAGAGTGCGGCGGACGCCTAAACTGGTGTGTCGGTCGGTAGATGGCAGCCGGGCCGACGAGGGGACGGCGCGCGCGCGCTCGTTCGCGGTCGGGGACGTGGTCTGGGGCCCCGCGCGCGGCCAGCTGTGGCCCGGCAAGCTGCGCGCGCGCCTGCCGGCCGGCCGCTGGGCCGTGCGCTGGTTCGGCGCCGGCGGCACCGCCGCGCTGCGCCCCGAGCGCCTGCTGTCGCTGTCGGAGGGCCTGGACCGCCACCACGCCGCGCGCACCAACCTCAGGAAGTGAGTCGCTCCGACCGCCGCGACCACATACCATCCCGCCACTACTGTCGTGTCGATACGAATCACAGTTTGTTACATTCACGTTGATCGTTACCGTTCAATACTTTACACACATTTGTAATATTAACCCAACCTGAGATTTTTGTTTAATTCTGTTACGATGTTGCGTGGCGAGGCTGTTAATATCCACAATACGGATCGTTTACTTTTATAGATTACTCAATTTCTTTAATTTACCACAACAGGAGTAGAAAACTGAACACCTTACTCGAGAACGCAATTCAGGAAGCCATGGCGGAGCTCGACAAAAAAAGCGAGAGCTCGGGTGAACGGGACGACGGCACCGAGCCGAGCGCTGACTCCGAGGAAGTGACGGACACGCCGCGTCGCAAGAAGCCGGATCGAGCCAAGCGAGACAAGAATCACAAGAAGCACCCGGCCAAGCTAGCGCCCAGCCCCGGCACTGCGGGCGACGGCGCGGGCGCCAGACTGCGCAGCTCACGATGATGCGACACTCGGACCTGCACTGTTAGCGCACTTCTCCAAACTCGGCCGACTTGAAAAGTCAGTTTTTACTAACAGCTATATCAAATCTATTGTTGTTGCTAGTGGAATAGTGTGTTAGTATAGAATTGATTAATCAACGCGCCCTTTACTCGATGTAGGAATGTGGTACAGAGTCCGCCTTTTTCAGACGTTATGTAGATTTAAATATTATAAATTTTAAAATATATTATATAATTATAACGCGAGATCTTAAGTTTGAGACTGGCTACTTCGGTTCATGTAGTATAAATCACACAAAACAAAGGTTTATTTGCAAAATTACCTTCCATAACATCACAACGACATTAATTTCACAATAAATTAATTTATAGACGTTAGTTAGAACAATGCTGTTGAGATTCATTATATTAAAAACGTATGTTTTGTTTTCAGCTTGTATATTTAATATACCGTTCAGTGATTATATACCATTCCGTATTACCTATCGTATAATTGGGATCACTGTATATAAGGTTCGTAAAGTTTGTGTTCGAAACGTGTCATCTTTGGATCAAAATTCCTTGTAGACATTAGATGTTCCTAAAATATGCAAATTATTATTATATTTCCATTCTATTGACGAGATACGCAGTGATTTATCACAGTTTGATATTAAATTATATAAATGTGCATTGTTTAGGTGTTGCAATCATGATTTAAAATCATTGTTGTTTCACTTTATATGTATTAGATTAAGTGAAGGTCGTACTTTAAGTAGGTTTTTCTCGATATTAAAGAAATTAATAAAATTCCACACCTGTCATCGATGTATTGTACAATTTTAGTGAACTGTAAATTGATAAGAAATTATGCTATATATCTTGTAAATTTTATGTGTTTTGTTAGAAAATAATAAGTATAACATGATTTCTAGTCAAAATATTGAGCATATTAAAATGTAGATATTATAGATGAGATAATTGACAATAACACTGGCCTGGCGAGTGTCGGCGCACCGCGCCGGCATTGTTTCGGTTGAATAATGAATAAGTACACTACATATTAGTTTCGACATTGTGCTACTTGTTTGCGTTAATAATTTTATACTTTTGTTAATACTTTAGAAATAATAAATGATACAATTATTTAAATGCGAAATACGAAAAGATTTTGATAAGAGAAGCAGCAGATTTTATCTATACATAATTATATGAATATTTCAATGTTGTGGTAGGAAAAAATACATCAAACCTATTTATACATTTATATGCAAATTAATAAAGTAATCTTTGATTATTGTAGGCCTACATAATTATACAAACATAGTTTTCATGTTATGAATGGCATTGAACGTTTGCGTTACATCGACATTAGGACATCACAGCGACATACACATTAGCACACGATTAGAAATTAGTCTCATCATCTCATTTTTTTCTGTTTAATTTATATAAATTTAAGATATATCTAAGTGTCGCTTAATTGATAAACAATTTGATTTGTGGTACAAGGGAGATTATTTTAAATCATTTCTAAAATGCTTTTTAATCACAATATTTTTTAGATAAGAAAAGGTTAAAAAATCTAGGTAATGTTAACTAATAGGTCATGCCATGAGTACATTTTGATAGACAATTTGTTATCAATAGTCATTGTTAGATTTATCAATGTGCAAAATTACTTTATGTGATCTTTGGGTGTCCGATGAATATATCAATGAATTATCATAGCTTACTGTTTTATATACCTATCGTATTTTATAGTAATTTAGGAATTCCACTTAAAATTTTTCCTAATAAATAAATAAATAAATGTGACTCCAAATATCGACATAGTATTTAAATGTTAAATGGATATTGTTTATTATATTATAGTCTGATAGCACTTCCCTGTGAGATGGTATTATGTACATAATCTTAATGTAGTTATGTATAGTATTTTATTTCAATGAAATTAATGTTTTATAGACTAATATACAACGTAAGATTATTTATTTGTTTTGCTGTGTACATATTTTTTTCAATAAAATGTACCTGTTTTATTTAAAGCTTTACTTTAATTTCCCTACATCCCTTTTTTTAATAAGAGACAAAATATCTAGACTAGACATCTTTTACCATATTTAAGTAAATGTTAAATAAAATATTCAAAGAAATTATGTATTATTAACAAAAATTATGTTTTATCTGCGGCAGGTGTGCAATAATATAACTCATTATCATTATTATAATATATTAGGCATTGTTAGTGTCATTGTAAAATATGAGCCACGACATTTGGTTCCCAGGACGCTACGGGTTGATGCGGACGTGTCCCGTTCATTTCGCGATCAAGTGTGCGTCCGATAGTTTAAACAAATCGAATTAATGAGGCACCAGCTGCTCATGCTCGCCGTCTGCAGGCCGGTGCTTGCGGTGGCAGGAGATCGTCTCGCGATTCCCATCGCCCTAAGTGGCCTTCGCGACGGCTGAGCTGAGGATGTTGTGGATCTCTGCCTTATGCGCCCCGCCTCCTCCTTAACTAGCATACCATATAACGTACCTAATAAACTGCCGGTACCGGTCTAATGAGCGGTGAAAAATGTTATCACCTGTTAATTACACTACAGTCTACCTCGACTTTGATTCTAATAAATGATCTTTCTTTCTTTCTTCTTTCTTTCTTTCTTTCTTCTTTCTTTCTAATTAAAATTGCTTATAATTAGGTACGTAGACTAGACAACAACAGGTCCAAACATACTTGATGTTTGGCGTATCGTTCTTAATGGATTGTAGAGGGTAGAATGGCAGTCGCTTCATGCAAAATGCTGACACCTTGATCTTTAAAAATTGTCGTTATTGTTTGTATTATTATTAAAGAAAAATTGAGACATTCACCAGGACGAAGTCGCTAGTGCGAAACAAAAGTTAGGTCATTTACCATGGGTAGGTACTATTGGCCATTGTGGTGAGGAAGTACTTATGTCTTTTACACTTTTTTAAGTAGGGTAACGGAACAGAAACTTGACTTTAGTACTTAGGTCCTTAACTTTTTATTACCTTTTCTTAAGGGGGGAAAATCATCGAATGACTGCTCCCGCCTGGGTGAGGCGGGAGGGAGTGTCAGACTCTTACTGACTAAAAACCACCCCGTTCCTTCTCCTGCACGTCGAGCCGGAGCCCCGGTAACCCGTTAGGTTCTCCGCGACAACCTTTTATTACCTTAGTATTAAAAATGACGTGTTTATGTGGCGCAGCGATGACGGGTTGGTTAAGTTTTCGTTTTTCGCCTAAAGCTAGTCGAGAGGGCAAATCAAATCAAGGTAGGTACCATATATTATAACAATACTTAATTAATTAACCAATCTTTGAGGCCTGGGCACTCGGGGCCCGTGCCCAGGGCCCTCCTTCTGAGGGGGCCCCGTAAGACTGGCAATTTAAACGACGGAGTCATACTCCCTAACCGGTTACCGCGCAACTTGTAACGGGTTCGATTCCCGCACGGAGCAAATTTTTATGTGATTCACAAACTGATTATCCGCGTCTGGGTGTCATGTGTATGTGAAAGTGTATGTTTGTAAATGCACCCACACACGAACAGTGTGGAGCAACGTTAAAAAAAGCATTCAAAAAGGCCCCGCATTATTGTGTGCCCAACGGCCCAAGCGTAGTCTACGCGCCTACCAGACTATGGTCCTTGCGCTGCTCATCGCTATTCTCCTCGCGCTGCCGTGATTTTGTTGTCCTCTCTACCGACTTACTGCCCACTTCGCTCAATTAATCGCGACGCCCCTTTTGCCGCTCCTCGTATTGCCAGTCCCTTTGACTCCCGCGTAAAAACCGACAAAACGGAGCAGTGGGCAGGACGAGGAGCATGACGTGTGGTTTGACGAGTAATGTTGCCAGACTATGTATCTGCCTCCTTTCCTCGTTACTTCCCATATCACTCGTCGAGTGTGTGACAGGCGCATAAGACGACCCTGCATACACCTCACACCTAGACCAAACGCAGAACAATATTTATAGACCACACAAATAAATTGTTCCTTGCAAAAAACTGCGCAGTAGCCGATTGCCTAACCATGGCACCAATTCACGGAATATGTGTCGCGTATTTTTTACACTCAAAAATATTATTTCGGATATTAATTTTACTAACATGATCTAGGTACTTCCAAGAAATGAAGTTATATTATTAAATTATATTAAAAACTCACCTGTATAGAAAACATAAGCGCTAGTGAAAGTTTTGTCCGAATTAAGAGGTAGTATAGCCTTTTCGTCTTATGGTCGAGAATAGATTATACTAAATCGAGTGTATTATATAGCTCATACTAATAGGTAGTGTTAGCTTTATAATATTAAGTTGAATGCTGGTAACATTATTTGTGATAATATAATACATTATAATGGAGGGACTCACTTTGTATTCAGCGATCGAACTGTTCGGATTAAAACCAATTATTATCTAACCTGTATTTTACACTAGTGAAACTGTGTACCTACATAATTACCTACTAGGTCTAGGCCCCGGTTTGGTTTGTGACGTAAATAAGTAAAATACTGCCTACAGAGAAACTACCCATTAGATTGCGCATAAGGCATGATATATTAGCGCTGTAACAGTAGGATCACCGCAGCACACCATCGTGCATACCTACATAATTTTCAGAAAGGATAATCCCATTTATTACAGCTATTTACTATTGTGAACGCTCATCCTTGCGAAACGTTGCGAGTTCGTGCGTTTAACATGCGGCAGTTACTACATAATTTATGTATTTCGTTTGTTTTGTTATGACAGATTTAGGTAACACATATTCCATCTGGCTTAACTGTAGATATACAAAAACTTTTAGTAGAAACCTTCAATCAAAACTAAATACCTACCTACATAACTTTGTGCGGGAATAGGCACCTCTATGTTGATAAGTCAAAAAAGTGGCACTTGCTAGCACTGAGGTTTAGTCCGAACAGTAGCTTAGCTTCTAAGACTAAAATTTACACCAATCCACTACCCAAGATGATATAAGTTAATAAAAA